CAAGGATAGATTGCATAAAAGTTTAATCAAAAGTAAGTCTTTGGGAACAACTAGAAACTTTTTGGGAGACAATAACAACAGAGACTGTGGAAAAATACTGTAGGATACTATACTGTTATCAAAGGACACTAAACAAAAATATTAGTTTTTGGTTATTATGTTTGAATAAAGACTATTAATTTGGAGATGATTAGGAGGCCATGATGGATGCAAATTTGCCCAGGATGCAAATTACACCCCTACTCTTTCGAAGGACATACTGGGATTTTTTAATGACCATAGAGAGTCAGGACCTCGAATTATCGTCTCATCCGAAGGATGGTGCTCTTTTGACAGTTTAGTGTCCCCATCTCTCTACTGGGGGCGTTAGGACCCACACAGACCACAGGTTGAGCGCCCCCTGCTGGCCTCACTAACACATCCAAGACCTGGTTTTCCCAGGAGGTCTCCCATCAGGGACTAACCAGGTAACTTCAGTGACATTGACCACATCCGTTCGTTTTTATGTGCTTAACTTGATAGCTTAGAAAGCTGTTTCACAAATTCTGTTTGGCGAGTCATTTCCTGCTATTCAACTTCAACCCGTAAAGTGAGGCTTCAATAGAAAACGAGAGAGATCACGGCAGTTGTTTACTTCATCATAGACTGATCATCCAGTTAAGAGACAAATAGACCTTTGAGTTGCACAAACATCATTCTTGAGCTTTTTTGGGAAGCTGACCTTCATTTGAAGAGTTAATTCAATTTCGCTTTACAGGGAACATGCTTGTCTTTTCTCAGGCCTCACACTTCCATATTGAATTACTTAATTTTATACTTTATGTATTAGTGAGATATTCAGTTTGTAGCCAGACGAGACAGATGTTTTACAGAGAGTGTTGTTTTGTTTTTGATAAGCTCTTGGTTCTTTACCTCAGGCCTACTTGGTTGCTTGTTTGTTTTATCTCCCGTGATTTTGAGCCACCGATCATCATGTCCGGTTGCTATGCAAACTCAGATAAACATGTCTCAAGTTAATATATATATATATATATATATATATATATATATATACAGTATATTCTGTTCTTGACCCAGAGAATAGACCCAACAACGAAAAGGTTTGGTTAATGTAGCTGTGTAACAGGCAATAAATTCACAATCTCATCTAAGTAACTAGATATATTTTACATTGACAAACTTTCCAGATTCATACCATATTCTTTTGTTCTATAATACTTACAGTATAAATATTTTTTTTATTCTCCTGGTTGTTAGGCTACCCCTTTTTCCCTAAACTTAAAATATTGCACTGTAAAAAAATATTTTCAAGATTTGTTATCACAACATATTTTCTTTTGTCAAATCAACTTTATAATAATTTAATTTGTTGAGATAACTTATTATTTGGAGTTTCTGATGGTTAAATTAATTTCCTTCATATATTAACTCACTTTTTCCAGTTCAATGAACTTAAAATTTTAAGGCAACCAGGTTACTTACTTTTTTAAGTTAAACCAACAATATTTTTTTACAGTGTGTTCCCTTATTGTAAGTACGTTACACTATAAATACTGAAGGTTGCGCTGTAAAATCACTTTAATTACGCAGTACTTTCCGGGCTGTAATCTAAAGCGTTACCGAAACATGTTTTATAAGTTTGTTAGGGAGCTGAGAGAGCTGTTAGTCGCAGTAAAAACTTCTTACAGTGTTCTCCGTGTAGAGAATGAGTTTGGCACACTTTCCCTTTCTCTCAAAAGGAATAATGAGGCCGAGAGGTCTTTGTTCGGGTCACCATGGCGACCCAAGAGGACGATGGAAGGGTTCCAGGACCACAGAGGGATAAAAGAGCAGGAGATTTGTGTCTGCATGTGTGTGTACACGTTTATTGTAAAACTTACAACACCAGAAATCACTTCATTCTGTCTGTTCGTGTTTTTGCTCACATTTGCACCTTATCTCTGGCTGCCCGTGGTCCTTTTTGTTTAGCACTGTGTTTGTGTAAATCTGTTTCCAAGCATAGGGTGGATATTTTAGAGTTCAGTTTACAGTTGAATAAAAGGTCTAAAAATCACCAAGACCTAAATCTGAAATATTATAGCCCTGTAAAAAGTTCCTTGGTGTTTTTGTAGGATATTTAACATTATAGCCTAATACCAAGGTTAACTTTGAAGTACTTGGGAGTATATGTAAATGTATCTCATATGCACATATACATGACGGTTATGGAAATATGTCATATATTTGAACAATGACAATGTGTACCTTAATCTAACAAATGACTGCAAAACATCAAATAAATATCATTTAGCAAGTAATGTACGAAAGTTTTAGAATGTCCTTTCTGGATTTTTGGCTAGATATTCTTTGACCCTGATTTGCATGATAATTGAATATCAGTCAGTGACAGCTGTGATTTATGCTTACACAATGCCAGGAGCAGATGGTTTTCTGTAATCATAACCCAAGTTGCAAAGCTGAACATGATTAGAAGTGGTTCTTGCTTGTACAAAACTCGCCATAATGATACTTTGTCATGATTCCATTATTTGCTCTTTTTAATGATAATATTAGAGATTCATGCCTCATGTCTCTTGTTTCTGTTGACCTGTACTGTATATAGCCAGGACTTAAAAGTAATAAGATATTTGATTAGAGGTGTGATTTATCCATTTGAAAGTCACTCTTTCAACTCGAACGTTCAAACACACTGGCTGGAAGTGTCTTCGGTTTGGTTGTGAAATGCTGACATGCACTGCAGGGCTGAATGGGGTTAATCCAGGCAGAATTGACTGGCTTTAACAGACACTGAACCGCACAAATACACACTCAGACAAGCACGCTTGTATGCCAAAATATGGATCGCCTATAGCTTTGCTGTTTTGCAATCCATTTCAGATGTGGTATATAACATCTTAAACCTGCATGGCTTCAATGTATATTACTGCAAATTAGATTAGCAAGAATTGTTTTCCATGCATTTACAGCTCAAATGACAGAGTGGAATGTGGAAAACTTTTTAGCTTGACTCCAGAAGGCTTTTGTGTCTGTTGTTTGTTTTATAATCATATTTCTTTTGTTTACAGTAAGAATAAAACATTGTTTTTGCATTAAAACCCAATGATTTGTGTGCACCTGATGCAAAAAATATAGAGCTTGCTCTGCTGCAAGTTTTTACTAGATGGTGTTTTGTCGCCTCTTAGTGGTTACTCTTTTATTTCTGCTGACTAAAGCATGTAGTTTGTCAGAGAGCTATATCTGGCGTGTGATTTCTCATTAAACAATCAGGTCTTTAGATTGGTGTCAGATCTATTGCAGGTGCTATTCAAAATCCCTTGTTTTGGAAGCGTCTGCATTCTGAAGACCGTGTAGCCCTCAAACCATATTCACTTTAAAGCCCTTAATCCTGTAATTGTGGACAAATGTGGGCAAAGAGGACGCAGGTGTGATCCTAATTTTTATTTATTATAAATGTTATATCACTGTCTTCGATAAAGTTTTGTCTATCCAGTTATGGTGTTTTTCTTTATTTTGGGGGTACTTTTGAATTTATTTACTTCAAAAAGTACCATATTTTATATGTAAATCATTTAGTAAATTAATTACTATATATTTTATATATATTTTTTAATTTTTTTAACTACATTAAAATATCATTCCAATAAGTTCTTAGAGCTAAAACCTAAAGTTGAAGTGACTTTGCTGTCACCTGGTGTCTTATTTTGGCTTATTTTAGAATTTTTCCCATTCATTTCTATGGGTGCCCATTTTTGACCCAAATACAAGATTAAGGAGTTTTTTTTTTCACCCACTTAACATTGTAGAATTGAGTCAAAAAAAATGGTGTGTTCAGGAGGCAAACTTAGGAAAAGTAACCAAGACTTACTGCTCAAATAAAAGGAAATATTTAAAAAAAAAAAAAAAAATCAAAACTATTTTGACCACATTTGTCCAGAATATGGTAATATAAGGCACTGTAGCGCTTCACCCGACACCATTTATTTCATCATTATCCACTTGGAAACAGTTTTGTTCTTGATGACCAAAGGCCTCCGCTAATTGCCCCAATGCAAAATTAATCTTCAGAGAAATAATTTAGATTTCACATTTATATTCAAACTGTTTAGTTCACTTTATTAAAAGATTACATTTTTTAGATATGTTTTCTAAAAAAAAACATTTTATTGCCATTTGATTTTTTTTTTATCAGTTTAATTTGATGAATACCTTTTTTTTTAAATGGAAAAAAGAAAATTCAGTAATTAATTACTCACCCTCATGTCATTCCAAATCCGTAATGCTTTCTTTAAACACAAAGTTCATAAAGAGATTGTAAAACTAATCCATATGATTCAGCAGTTTGATCAAATTTTCTGAAGGTACATGATTGCTTTATACGCTGAACAGATTTAATTTATTAGTTGTGGTACACGGAAGCTCAAGCATACCAGAGCCAATGAGATTCATTCTCGTGTTACGCAGCACGTTTGAGCTTCAGCAAGAACCAATGAGATTCATCTAACCCTAACCCTTGACAAGACAAGTCTTCTAAATCCATCCGATAGCTTGTGGGAGGAACACAATGTCCCTCCACCCAGCTTTCACATTTGCCCCCATGAGAATGTTTTTATTTATTTATTTATTTTGTGAGATTATCAGTACATTTACATATAGGCTATGTATACATGTACATTTAAAACTCAGTCTATTCTTCATATTAAGCTATATGGCTTCAGAACACTTGGAGTGAAGTGCACTAAATGTGACCCTTTTCCTCCATTCACAGCATGAATACTCTTTCAAAACCTATTGTGCTGTGTTACGTTCAAGAATAAAACATTCATGTTTTTGAACCACATGACGGCAAGTAACATAAACGCAGACATAATTTTTATTTTTGCTCGTACTAGCCCTTTAAGAACTTCCCACCCCTCTGTTCATATCTTTCAGCGGCTCATTGAGCATTACGGGGCAGGTGGACTGTACCACTTTCACCCGCAGAGGGGGGGACGTGAGACCTCATTAACTTCAGCACCTGGACAGCGACCGTGCCGGAAACCCTCCTCGGGTGTAACAATGCGAGCATTCAGTGGAACGATATTCCTCCAAGAAATGCTTTGACAAACAATGCGATTTCCGAGACGCTTTCTTGCTGGGAGATACGGAAAGCTGGCTGTATTGCGCACGGATATCTCACAGAAACAGCGCCAGTCCTGAGGCTTCCCTTCCGTGCAGGGAGGGTGCGAGTGAAGGAAGGACAAAACGTCGCGGTTCTCTTTGTTTACATCGGGAAAAAAGTGAGAATGCGACGGATTGTCGGACTGGAGGTGCCGCTGATATTGTGGATATGGAGTGTTTATGTGAAGCTCAGCGCAGGAGCCCGTGAGTACATGAGTGTGTGTGTGCGTGTGTGTACATGTGTGTATTCAATGATCTTATTATGCGTCAGCATGTGACTCTTCATCTGTTCAACATCAACACTTTATTATGTTGCACTTTTAAATGAGCTGGTTGAAATAGAATTAAATAATCTCATTTAAACCATGCACACAGGTTTATTAATAAAAAAAGACCTCAGAAGTTGATTTATAGGCTACATGCCATATGGTCTTATGAGATTTCATGCATTAATGCTCTGGGAGCATTTTAGGAATATCAGCGTTTTGCTGTTCAGTTGCCTGCATATGGGTGTTTCATAAGCTGTGTTTATGATGATGAAATATGGTGCCCAGTTGGTGTAGTAGGTGGCTCTCAAAAAGTTTTTTGACTCAAAAAATAGATTTGTTAAATATATCATGATTACATCACTTTAAAAAAATGCAAAGTTGAACCTGAATTATTTATAACTAATTAATCTGACCCTTTAAATTAGGTTTCTTGTTTAGTGTCTGTGTTTAAGGCGATTCAGGCATATTAAATAATTGCTGATTTTATTAGTTCAGATTTATGCTGTTAAATCCCTAGTCGAGTATTGATGCTGTAGTCGCTTTCCTCTGGCTATTATAGATCAGTGGCTTATACTAATGGAGAATACAGGTCAAAGCTGTCTGAAGAAATGATTCTGCAGCAATAACATGTAGCCTCATTTTCCGCTTGGGGTAACACATTAATAAATAATACTTAAAAGAGATATGTGGACATGTTGGTGCCCTTAGTGTATACATAAGATGTTGGGTAACTAAAACTCACAGATGCACCAGGAGAAAATGTGGAGCGGCACGTGTCGTGTGCCAACTACGGTGGATTAGTTTACTGTTAGTTCATCCATCTCAGATTAGTATGTAAAATGTAAAGTCATTAATTACATTCAGATTAACCAGATTGGTCCGCAGGCATTGTAAGGCTCTGAAAAAAAAAATGGTGTATTTCATTCATAAAATTTTTTATTCGGATATGTCTTTAATTTCACAAAAAGTGAAAAGTAGAAAGACTGAAATAGGATTTGTAATCACAACATTTTTTCTTTAGTCAAATCAACTTGAATAATTTATGTCGTTCAGATAACATAATATTTTGAGTTTCTGATGATTAAATCAATCTCCTCATTGTATTAACTCAATTTTTCCATTTCAATGAACTTAAAATTTTAAGGCCCCCAGTTTACTTCATTTTTTAGGTTAAGCAAACAATATTTTTTTACAGTGTCCTCCAGTTTTTGAGGCATTTTACAATCAAATCAGCATCTCCGTTGGTCAAAAAAACTCTTATATAACCACTGTCTCAACATTTCAATGAGAAATGATAGTGATCACACACTTATAGACTACTTAGAAGCCGAATGTAGCACTTTTCAATCCATTAAACTAAAGACTCGGCATGAGTCAAGACATTTAGGCATCAAACAATGTATTAGAAGTTGAGTTTTTGATGCAAAAATGCATATTTTGAGCATTTCCGCATACTTGTGGCTCTTTTTATTCTTGATGGCAATCTGTGAAATATGTTAAAATCTTAATTTACTCAACATCATGTTGTTCCTAGTTTGAATGACTTTCTTTAATTTTCAAAACAAAGATATTTTACACAACATTGTGGTTCAAAAAATGTTGGACCCCATTGACTTCCATTGTACTGGACACACTTTTATCTTTTTATTTTTCACTTAAAAGCTACACACTGTAAAAGATATTTCCATGATTTGTAATCACAACATTTTTTCTTTAAGATAATTTATGTAGTTCAGATAACATAATATTTTGAGTTTCTGGTGATTAAATTAATCTCCTTCATAGTATTAACTCATTTTTTCCATTTCAATGAACTTTTTTCATGGATGGATTTTTCATTTATATCATTTATCCTTATTCTGACTGTGGCAATAAAACATTTATGAAATAGCCTATTTCTGCCCTGCAATAGAGACAGTGATGAATGCGATCTGATTCAGCTCTCCTATTGGTTGTTGCAGTGCCTCTAGATCAGTAGCGCCGTGTATTGTGATGCTAATGAGAAAGCTCATTTAGATTCGGGCACCTGCCATCTTGATTTGTGGTAGCGCGTGCCGCCCCCTGTCATCTCACCCCTCCCCCATTCTCCTGGCACCTCCCTTTGTCCACCGGAGATGGACACGAGCGAACAAAAGCCTCCGCGTGTTCCAAACACACACTTTCAAAGCACTTCACGCCCCGTTTCTGTATCGTCACACCTCCAGGTCAGGTTGGCGGTTAGTTTGGTTTGCTGGTCGTTCATAAACAAGGTGCACATTTAGTCGAGGGTTCATCATGGGAGCTGTAGAGAAGTGTTTAAAACAATAGTAACTATACATTTTATTTACAGATATCATTTATGATACCCTCACATAAAACCTTCTGAATTTTAACAGTTTCAAAAAACAAAAATTAGTGTGATTTATAAGCTGTTTTCCTCATGGCAACCAAAACATGTCGGGACATTCACCACAAAGTTGGTGATTACTAGGCACACATGCATGTAGTAATTTCAATGTTAAAGTAGGCTATTTATACGTTGTGGTAGCATTTTTACTGCCTTTATGCTGATTTAAATAAAACAATTGTAGCACTGTATTTTTTTCTAATGTAATGCTTTAAAGATTTATGAGATTACAGTAATATAATCTAGAAAAATCAAAATTGAAACTCAATACAGAAATGAGAATTTGGGGCTAAATGTGGTTCGTTCTTGTCATAAAAATAATGCCACAATGCAAAAAAACATTTTTTTTACCTTTAACGGTCCTGTTAATTTTCTTTATACAAAATTTTATTTTTTATTTTTTATTTTTGGAGGACATGTGGGCATGATTTTCCTGAGATCCCCCCCCCTATTACGCCTCTAGGTATAAAGCCTTCATTTACTCCCCCCTGTTTGATTATCACCCACAGTCCCATCATGCTCCATGAATCTGAATCACAGATTCCCCCTGGAAGATGTGAACGACACAAAGGCTTCCGGCAGGCCCTCCTCCCGATCCGGGCTTCGAGAGCTCATGTTTTCAATCAAATCCCAATTTATAGACAATCCTCCATGAACAGATGTGGTTTGGAGAGCAAGAGGAGGCAAACAAAGGCCAATTGTGATGACCTGTCAACTCATTAATTCAAGATGTGGCTGTTGACTGTAGCTTCATAATTGACATCTTACACCACAAAGGTAATTAAACATGTTGACCCAGAACAGATGCTGGCTCTCATGAGCAGGATTCAGCCATGAGTTAAACAGCTTTAAGTGTCTTCATTCTCACTTGACTCAAATTGTTAGTCTTGTTTCGTGACCATAAATCCCAAACAAAATTTCCATAAGACTGAGAGGCTTTTAATAATTTTATTCTTAGAAAAAGATTTTTGTTATGGTGTGTGCAGGCATGCAGATGAGGACACGGAAGATTAATGTTTCAACACAAAAATTACTTATATATTAATCCAAACAGGTAGCTGAATAACACACACATATGCACAAACGTGACCGGACAATTAAAGGGGTGGTATAATGCTCCTTTTTGCAAGATGGGTGTGTATGTGAAGTTTTAACTCAAAATACCCCATAGATCATTTTTATAGCATTTTAAAATTGTCCCTTTTTGAGGGTGAGCAAAAATGCATAATTTTGTGTGTGGCCCTTTAAATGCAAATGAGCTGCTGCTCCCGCCAGCACAGAGGGCGGAGCTTCAAGAGCGCCTTAGCAGCTTGTCAGAAAGTGAATCGTTCTGTCTTTTATGCTCAAATGTTTTGTGTAAATGTCTTTTATGTTATGTCGGACAATGATGGAGAGACTCGAAGAAGTGACAACATGGATGTTTCTGAATGGTTAGTTGATGAATTTATGTAGCTTATGTGGAGTAAACTATCTTCAAGTCATTGATTTATCAGACACAGCTGAAACAAACAAACTAATAATGGCGGTAATCTAGCAGACCAACTAGTGGCGGGAATCTGAACTACAGGTGACAAATGAAAACAAAGTGAAGTCTATGAAAACAGAAACTTACTAAACATAACGTTGACAACTTTTTTGTGATATTTTTCACTTAAAGGACAACTCTGGCGCAAAATGAACCTTTGGTCTAATAACACATTGGTACTTGAGATTTGTTTTCATGATAATCGATAGTTTTATCTCTAAAAACTGATTAGCGTATTATGCTAATCGCTAGTCAATACCACTAACAAGGCTCAAAATAGCCCCACACTAACACAGTAACATTATGAGGGTCCATACATGCAAAACGAAGCATTGAGAAGGTTGTAAGTGTACAGAGCGTTTAATAAGAAGATATTTTATAAAGACAGTCCACTTTGTGCATACAAGCATGAGCCATCTTTGGAAAACAGTATTGACTAGTCGAACCACGAACTGTCGGTTTTCCAAAGATGGAAAATAAAATAAAATTCGTATTAAGAATATGATTGTTGTAGTGATTACAATGACATAATTTTAAATCATGAAGGTAGAATCTGTAGGTTATATTTAATATACTCAGCCAACTTCGTTTCCAGTTCCTTCACAAGATACTGCAGTATTCGCACATCCACAGACTGATACTGCTCACAGAAATGCTTTTGACAAGCTGTCCTCCGAGAGATGGAAAGTTGGGTTTGCAAAGTAACAGACTGCAACAGAGGAACAACTAGTTTGGCAAGGTTTGCAAAAGTTTCTGCAAGACTATGACAGAGTTATCTGTGAAATATTAAATATATTTTAATAATATGATAATTTTGCATTCTTCCTGTAGTTCAATCTCACTCTTATGGGTGTTTAGTTACTGAATGTGTGCCGCGTGGTTTTAAAAGCAGGCTTGAATTATGCATTTTTATAATTTCTCTGATAAAAACCCTCTACTTTCCCAACTTTCCTGCATTTTTTGAGATGATGAGTTGTAAGTGAGTATTTAGGAAGTTATAATGTTGTTCCTAAGCGTTAGGCTG